AAGAAGCCCTCTCTTGATTTAAGGCCAGTAGCAAAAATTTCTCTCCTGGGCAAAGTTTTTGAATGGGCCATTGCCTATCAATTCCAGGCACTTTTGGATGAGACTGATTATGTGGATCCATTTCAACTGGGATTCAGGCCGTGTTTGGGCATGGAAATAGCCTTGGTTGCCCTATATGATGATCTATACCAGGAGAAAGATGGGGGAGTGTGACCTTGTTGATACTGGGGGACCTCTTAGTGGCTTGGTATCCTTTGATATCACGGTATCCTTCTGGGGCAGCTGTCTGAGTTGGGGTCACTGCCTTCCAGTGGTTCCAATCCTACTTGGAATGCTGTCTCCAGAAGGTGGTGCTTGTGGAATATTGTTCAGCTCCATGGTTTCACCAACATGGAGTTCCTCAGGGGTTTTGTTCTCCATGCTATTTAACACAAAACCACTGAGTGGGGTCATCCAGAATTTTGGAGTTCATTGCCATTGGTATGCTGATGACATGCAGCTCTTACTCCTTTTCTGTCCATGGGCTGAACCAGTGTCTGGCTGCAACGATAGACTGGATGTGGTTTAGGGTCCCTTTTACTGGATGGTGTTCAACCTTTTCTAGATGGGGTTGCACTCCCCCTGAAGAAACAGGTTCATAGTTTAGGTGTGCTTCTTGATCCATCTTTGTCACTTGAGGATCAGGTGGCCTCGGTATTTATTTCTATACTGCCCAATAACCAAAAGGCTTTCAGTAGCTTGAGTGTCTTCTACCAGCTTCAGCTTCTCCTATCTGGACAGAGAATGCCTGGCTTCAGTTATCCGCACTCTGGTAATCTCTAAATTAGATTACTGCAATGTATGTGGGGATGCCCTTGAAGACAGTTCAGAGGCTGCAGTTGGTACAGAATGTGGCAGTTTAATAACCAGGACCCATAGGTCCAAACACATAAGATTAATTCTGGTCTACATGCATTGCCTCCCTGTATGCTTCCAGTCCCAATTCAAGGTGCTGGTTTTAACCTATAAAGCCTTACAGTTTAGGACTGCAACACCTGTCAGAATGCCACTCCCAACCACAGTCTACTTGAACATGACACTCAACCTTTGGGGCCTTTCTTTGAATGCCAACTCCAATGAAAGCATGGATGGAGGCAAGAATGGGGAGGGCATTCCCTGTGTTGGCCCTCTGACTATGGAACATCCTCCCTACTGCAGCCCAAGCTGGCACCAAATTTGCCATATTCTGGGTCCCAAGTTAAGACAATCCTCTTTTCTGAGGCCTTTAAAGATGTACTTGCCCTCCCAGGGACTTGAGGAGGATTACCCATCCTAAGTGTTTGCAGTTGCAGATTTTCATTCTTTGCTATTGTCTGCTTTAGCTGTTAACTTTTATGCTTTTTCTGATTTTATGAAAATGAGCTGCGGGGTGGTGCAGGGATGATGATGAATATATCAGGCCATGAAATCCTGAGTGAGCCTAGTTGAGACCACCTCAGTGTCAATGCTGAAGACTCCCATGACCACTGATCACCATTAGTCCATTTTGTGACATACCAACCATTTGCTTGGACTTATCTATGTGCACTGCTACAATGGGGAATCTTTTCTGGGTAGCAGTAATGCAACTGGAATTAAGCATACACACAGTGCAGATGAGCAACACCACTGTAAGTCAGTCCTCCTGCCCTAACCTCTATTTTTAAAGCAGTGAACAGTTTAAGGGACTGCAAATAATGGACAGCTACACTGTACAAGATCTGAAATGCTAAATCAGATCCTCACTACAATTGAGATTAAATTTTCTGTCTCATTTTCTAGCTTCTGCTGTGTTACCTTCAGTAATTCCTTAGCCAAGTGCTTCCTACCTCCCTTCTCTTCGACAGGCAAAGCTTTCAGTGATTTCTAAGCAGCCAACTTGTGTCTTTTTCTCTAATCTACCTATCTTTGTAGATAGGCTGTCTAAGTTGGGTGTGGCAGGCACCATTTACTGGGAGATTGTTTGGCTCTTTGTTAGCTGTCAGCTGTCCACACTCATTTCTGTTGCAGGACATTGGAACTAGTTGGCTAGTTCAAGTTTCAGGAACATTTTCAGCATAATACCACATCACCACAACTTGCCAATTGTTTTCATTGTAGAGGCTATAGCATGTAACTTAAAGCAGCACATCTTCAATAACAATACCTTCATGTATTCAACTCATAATAGATTAAAATAGCTTTTTGAAACATCACTTTTTACTAGTAGTGACTCTGATCTAATATTCCAAGATAGTTGTTTAAAAGTTTGTCTCATTAGTATGAATAAAAATACTATAAAGCAGGAGTATGTTTGAAATTTTGAGCATTCATAGTTTAAAGCACAGAGATGTAATACCAGTCATGGAATCTTCAAATTATGCTGCTTTTTGAGAAAGGAAAAAAAAAAAAGAAAAGAATATAGAACAAACTTGCATTCCAACAAGTTTTTTATTCAGCAGTGATTTGCCTTTGCAAAAAGAGAACTAATGGTATATCACTTGGAGTCCATTTATAAAGGGTTTCCAACCTATTTTAATTACATCTTTTATACAATGCATACTTTGCTTTCTAATATTGAGACAGTGGATATCTAAATTTGGGTTTTCAGAGTTGAATCAGAATAAAGAATAAAGTTGAATCAGATAAATTAGACAAGGAAGATTGTCAATTTAAATCTCTGCTCTCTGAACGATTCATAGTTCACTCTGAGTTCGAAGGATTAGTAAAATTGCATACAACCTATCCAAGTGAAGACTGAGGCTGTCAAATGTTTTGTAAGGGATTGGAACTGGGCCAATCTAAAGAGGAAGTTTCTGTACAGGTTAGATAGTTGAAGAACAGGAAGTATAGGAAAGACTGGCTTTTAGTCCCTTCCTTGCTCATCAAGAAGTTTTAGCCAGTGCAATCATTTTCATTAAGGACTTGGTTATACAAATGTAATGCCTCAGGTGTATTAAGGTGAGAAAACAAAGTAGCAAAACATTTAACATAGCCTAATGTATACTGCTGAAATTTCCAATGTGGGGGGCTGGCTGTGTTCCACTACCTCTTCCTTGGTTGGCATCACATTCAAGGGGGTGTGCTGGTGCCACAAGGCAGGGGTGGAGAGGGGAAAGGCAGCTTGATGGGAGCCAGCTGGGAGCCACACTGCACCGATTTCAGTATTTTGTTCTTTTGTTGGCATTTTTTGTTTCTCGGTTTCTGATTGTTGGAGAATTTTCGTTTTTTGGTATTGCATTTGGAAACTAATATACAGAATACTACATTATGTGTATGGTGCTTTTTGTTTCTGGTCCCTGAGGTGGTTTCTTGTTTTTGCCTGTCCCCAGCTGTGGAAAGGTTGAAAACCACTGTTGTAAACTAAAATAGCTAGAAGGCCACAATTCCCATCCATCCTAACCGGCATAGCTAATGGAGCCAAAGCACCTGGATGGTCACACTGCCCATTCCTCTCCCTCTTTATAACTTCTATATAGTCTCCTCTGTGAAAGAATACAGAACAGCTTACTTGGACACGGACGTATTACTGTTCTTACTGAACTAGGGATCCCCAAACTTTTTGGTTTGGTTGGCACAAGTGGAGTTTGGAGAGTGCCATAGGTGCTCTCTCAAACTAGCCATCATGAAAGGGACTGGCCCATTCATAAAATCGATGCCATGGTGGACACATGGTCCATTACAAGACCGGTGACACTGAAAAAATTGAGTAATTTTGCCAAGAGATTAAAAACTAGGCAGAGGTGAGATCTGAATGCCTTTGCACTTTTTAGCAAGTTAAAAAAACAAATAAGAATCAGGAGAAGCAGAGAGCCTGGTGGGTATCAAGAGAAGTAGACACAGGCACCCTGGTATACACACAGTAACAACTGTATCTCTCTGTACCCCTGCATTATCTATTTTAGACCTCTGGCAGAGCTTCTACAAAGTTATAGATAAGATCAAGATGATCACAACACCAATCTTTCACAAGAGGCATACTCTTCCATACAAGAGGTGCATGGAACAGGCAGGTAGTGCATTGTCTTTCACTGCTGCAGCATGAAGTCAAACTCCTTTGATGTATTTAAAAATAGGGTTTGACATGTTATGGAGGATTACATATGATAAGCTTTTAGCAGAAGACATCAATAGATTATAGGCATTCTTTTCAGTTTTCCTGCATGCTGAGAGGAAGGCAAGGAAACAATGCATCCTGTTTCTGTAAGAGTTAGAATTCAGAATCTAAACATTTTCATACATGTAGAATTATGCAGATACTACTAAAAATACAGGCACCTGTGTCATATTCAGATGAGCTTTTTACCAGGAGTGTCCCAGTGACTGCTAATTAAACAAGATGAACAATATACAGACTGAACATGTGAGTGACGATGACTGAACCTATTACGGAAACTACCATCTTGAATCTGCCTGTACACATGCAATTGTTCACTACTTACTCTGTCAGCAGTGCACTACATCGTCTCTACCCTTTGCTCCACACTAGACAGGAAACATGGGACCATAAGGCTCAATAAAACTACAATTTCCTTTAGCATCAGAATTGTGAGGATTATGTTCTTTAAGAGCTCTTTCACAGCATGTCAGTTTTTCTCCTGTAGAATGTTATGAAGCACTTCCTGCCCCCACTTCCTCCAGAGTGAAAAATGGAAGAGAAGAATTATCACCTGCTCTAAGAACACATACAATTAAAAGCTATAATAAAGCCAAAATTCAGGTAGCATTTAGTTCTACTACATAGCTTTTGGGACTAAAATATGAGATTCTTTAAAACAAATCTGAATTAGTTGAAAACTACCCATATCCAAATGTTATACTGATTTTAGTGGAGACAGCAGGGTAGGTCAAGAGAAATACCTCTGAAGGTGTTCCTTTTATATTTTATATTAATTGCATGGTCATGTAATATGTTTGTGAATAAAGGTCATTCAAAACATGCAAGTCTAATTACAAATCATGTATCCAGTTTAAGATAGCCAAGTAAAGGAAACCCAAGGAAGTCAGGCAGGAGACTGACAAGATTTATTACTATTCACAATAACTATATTACGGTGAAAACAAGTAAGTCTATTATAGGATCAACCCACTGGATTTAACTGAAGACAAAACAATAGACTTGATGATCTTCTCTCTCTTGCTAGTGTCCATACCTAGAAAGAAATTTATTTTCCTTTTAGGATTCAGTAGCAGTTATGTCAACATGCAATCAGAAAGCAAGCTTTGAAGTTAGCTAGCTTTATATATCTCTGGTTATGCACCCAACAAATCTGGAGATCATCTGCTCTAGATAAGATGTCAGGAAGGTGCCTATATCAACTTTAAGTCCACGTTGTATTTGTTGATTTTCACAGACTGGATTGTTCTGCCATTTCAAGGAAGATGCACTGCCATTTGTTGAATAAATGTTAACTTAAGCAGAAATGAAGTACATAAGAGACATCAGGCCAACACCACTTTTAGTTGATATCGGCTATACCTGTCCAGAAATGTAATGCAGAGTGGTGCATACCATCAGATCAAAGATATTCAGTGTTCAAGAGACCTATGCAAATCTTTTAGAGCAAACACATTTTTTTGCTCTAAATTTAATTTACCTGTAAAATTTGTGCAGGACAAAGATGCTACAGTCTTATGTATTCATATTTTATGAATACATTGTTTTTTAAAGCAATACTTAATAAGTAAATACTACTCTGTCTGTGAGAAATGGTGCAATGTGGAAAAAAGTTAATTTAGGAATGGACATAGTGAAGCGAGTTTCCCAAAACCATTATATAAATTGCAAATACTTCTTAATGCAATAAAGAGACCCTGACATCTGACCAAACTTAACATCCATTTGATCACAAACAGTAGCTTGTCAAATTAATATAAGTACAGGTCTGAAAATACAAACCAGCATTCCAGTATTACAGTTCTTTGGTTCTTCATAGCAAACTACCACCCACAAGGGTAAATGTTGTCAGAAATTTTTCTGACCAGTAACATTATAACTTAAAGGCAACACTAAGCAGATCAACTGCTTCCTACCCAAAAGAGGCTCAATCTGTGTAGATTTCAAAACTCAATCCACTCAAGTCATGAACAAATGGAGAATAATGCTTTCAATCAGTGCCATCATTCTCTGATACTTAAGCCTGATTAAGCTAATTTGCACAAGTTCATCTACATCTGTACAAGGAAGATGTGGTGGTGGAGGCAAGAAGGGCAGTTTTAGAGTGCCAGAAGTTTTAAGTTCTAACTGCAATTTTCTACTTCCCTTATTAAAGCAGAAAATACTTACTTCTGGAATTCCCATTCCCGGTTGTCTAATGGGCACACTTGCCGAGTCTTAAGCCAGCGAGAGATGCAATGAAAGTGGAAAGCATGCTGAGAAAAAAAGGGAAAAAGTTATCTAAAGGGTGTGCTGCCAATGGTATATATTTCAGTTTGGTAAAGTTAGATCAGGAACTGATGAGATGTGCCACAAAAAGGAGGAGAAAGTCAATGACCAGAACCACAGAGTGAAAGCCACTGTGGAATAATTTCAGTGAACACAACTGTAACGAAACAGAGGAGCTAGTGCATTTTAAGCAGTCACAAAAATGACTATTATACTGGTCTTCTGAAAAGCCTTGAGCCTGTAGCATGCAACAGAATTCAGGGCTATCAAGCTAAAGAACAGAGCTTCCAGACCTTAATATTTATGGGAAGCAGCTTTTTAACACAGAAAATTACAGACCTGGGAAGCAGAATGGGACAGAAAAAGGCTTCTACTGTGAAAGAGGGACAAATTGCATCCTACACATAGTCCTTTCTCTCCCCATAGCCACAAGTACTCTGTCTTAAGTGTCTCCTTTTCATCTTCTACTATCATGTACCATGCTTTCCTGAGAGCTAGAATTGATATTTAAGAATATGCATGGACAGAAAGGGCACAGACATAACTCTCTTTATGCAGTTTTCAGTCAACAAGTGAGTCGCTGTTGGGTTGGGGACCTGGGAGAGATCTGTTTCAGTTTCATTTGGCCATACAGCTCACTTGGTGATTGGGGCAGTCATGCACTCTCAGCTTAACCTACCTCACAGGATTATTGTTGTGAGGACAAAATGGAGCTATATAAGCTGTCTTGGGTTCCTCATGGGAGGAAAAAATGGGATATAAATGGAATGTAGTAATAAAAGAAATAAAATTGTTTTAAAATTGAGCATCTTATGTTCTCACAACTGAAATAGCAGCTGTGAAAATGATATAGAGTAACTGGCTGAGTAACCAGTTGCCTTATGTACTCCTTTAAAAGTTACCAGAATAGGTGATGCAATCCAAACATCCATCCATTTTGACTAATCTTAATAGCTGGGATTTATGGAAGCTGTACTCTGAAGTCACCAAATTGCCTGCTTTAGGTCTACAGGTTCTGCAAAGCACTTTAAGTTCTTTTAAAAAGTTTGATGTACAATGAATGTGGATTGTTTCTAAGTGAAAATACTACTATCAATGCCATTATGTTTTTTTCTCCTGAAGGAAGAGCAATTCACAAATAGCAATTGTTTGAGGAAATAATGTTAAATTAGTTCCTTTTAAGAACAGTTAGCCAGAAGAGGATGCATTTAGCATATTCTTTTAAAATTTTTTTTACTGATATGCACTGTTGCGTATCTCCTCAACCTTGGCTTTCATTTACCCTTTACTTTGTCACATTATTGTGACTGCTTTTAAAGCCTTTGCTTCTAAATGAAGGTTTCTAATTAGGTTACTTCATAAAGATAATACTTTAAGTAGAAAAAAGTCTTCATAAAGGTTGAAAAACAGATTTCTTACATTACAAACGCCCCATGCAACAGTGCATTCTTCAGAGGTAGCTGATGCTTGGTTAGCTTGACATTCTATGCCTATGAAAACAAGCACAAGATTAGTATGGATTTCTAGCAATGAATTCTAGAACATGTGATAGAATACATTTGTTCTTTGTCCAATGAAAGTATTTTAGAACACCAGGAAGGAGGTAGCTATACTGTGCAATGACAAAGGAAGTTCAGTATGACATCATGAGAGCTACAAGTTTTCTATGTTCCATTTTTGTACACCATGACAGAAATGGCTGCATCATGACAAGTTACAGAAGCCAGTAGGTTGAGTCTAGAGCAAGCCACATCATCTAACACAGTAGTGAGCATAGGTCCCTTCCTATGAGCTCTTGAACCCAGCAAAGCTACACAGGATAAACTTGTCTTTTCCAAAATATACAGTGAGCTACTGCTATGTGCCATCAGGTAGCTACTGACTTATGGCAACCCTATGAATGAATGCCCTCCCTGACAGCCTGCTCAGCTCTTGTAGATTCAAGGCTGTGGCTTTCTTTATAGAAGCAATCCATCTTGTATTTGGCTTTCCTTCTGCCTTTGACTTTCTCTAGCATTACTGTATTCACCAGCAAACCTTGCCTTCTCCTGATATGCCCAAAATATGAAAGCTTCAGTCGTGTCATTTTCGCTTTCAGGGAGAGTTCTGGTTTGATTTGATGTCAGATCCTCTTGATTGTCTTCTTGTCAGTCCAGGGTATTCACAAAGCTCTCCTCCAGCACCATGAGAGCTAATAAATAATAATTTCCCACCCTCATTGTGATAGTCTTGAAATGGCATGCCAAAGAGAACAATGCTAGATAAACAGTTCCAGAAATGGGCAAATTTGAATAACACCCCCAAATGGTAGCAGAGAGGGATAAAAGATTTTGGGTTAGGTGGGAAATAAAATTAATGCTATGTTATTATTGTATTTTATGAATTTGTCTAGTAACTTTTTATAGTCATCTAAACCAGTGACAGAGAATTTTATGTTACGTAAGTTCTTCTCTTACGTTATGTAAGTTCTTCTCTTCTGTCTGTTCAGAATTTAGCACCAATCAACTATATTGAGTGATCTTAAGTCCTAGTATTTGGGTAATGGAGAAAAAAACCAAGCCCTTTCTACAATGCTCTTATTTTCTCAAGCCGCTCATATCTTTTTTCTAAAAGCCTCCAGATTTCCAACCTTTTCTTAGCAAAAAAAGATGTTCTAGTTCCATGATTTGTTCCCTCCCCAAAACGGTTTATATAAAATTAATGCATGTCATATCTACAGCAACGGTTTCAAAATATTAAAGCAAACAGCATTTACTTTCTATAGAAACTATGCGCAAGTAACATAAGGTTACATGTGCTTCCCATGGGAACTGCCTCACATACTTTCACCACCTTTATATTAGCAACTTGAGTTTCAGTTGATCAGCACTCATCCAGACTGTTACTGATTACAAGCACATGTTAATAGCATGGGAGAAAATGATGGAATTCTGCAGTGTCTTATAGTATACATGCCATGGGGAAGAGCAGCAATCCCCAGTACCATCTTCTGGAATCAAGCTAATTAGGAAAAAATGAGATGATGTGTTTGCACATAACCTATTGGTTTAAAAACCAATGGGTTGTCAGGGACAAACTGACATCTTCCACTTTAGTACACATTCTATGAGATGCTCCTTCATAGTTTGTGCAATTTGACATGTGAACCCAGAATGCTGGATTGCTGAGTCTCTAAACCACCCAACGGTTATTCTAACTACAAATCATGGATTAAGCACTGAGCTGTTCAGCCTCTAAACAACCCAGCAGTCCGGGATCTTACATCACACTGAACAACATATAAAAGAGTTGATCATGGGTTGTGTACTAAAGCAGAAGAAGCAGGCACACAGCATATCCCAGCAAACCTTCAATTTTAATGGATGCATTGTAAATACACACAAATCAGAGTTATTTTGCCCCCCCCCACTCTGATCCTAGGCAACTGATTCAGAAGACAACCTTGGCTGATGGTATCTAGAAATTAGACAAGTCCAGTGTGCTTAACCATTTTTCCTATAAGTTTGGCAACATACAAATGCATTAACAATAAATAGTTCAATTAAAAGATCAAATACTGGTTCTTGAAAGCTATTTCTTTGATGCAGTTAGGGAACATGAAAGGAATTTTGGATGTAATACAAGTGTGATGTATTTATGTTCTTGGCTTGTTAACTGACATTAAGAAAGACTTCTAAGATCTTGACATAATGGAGAACTATAACTTAACAGAAGCCTCAATCTTCACATCAGAGGTGGCACATGGCAGAAGGCAGTGAAGGACAATACTGAGACCAAATACTCCTCCAATCATCATCCAAATTGGCCAGTATCTTCATAACGCTCTGCACCTTGTGAGTTTCCAGCAAACTTGCATTGGAGAAAAACTGGACTAGATGAATATTGTAAGTAGTCACATTTTTAAGTTAAAACCAGCCAATATACTGCCATATTTTGCCTCATATGATAATTCTATAAAGGATTCACCACCTAAAAACAATCACACTGCTTAACAAGTCATCAAGCTAATAAATGCATGCAACCCTGGAAGTGCTGCAAAATTGGTCTTTGGTCATGGATTTCAATGTCAACAAAAAAACTGCAGTTCAGTGACAGTTTGATTATCTGATATAATCCCCACATGAAACCACAATTCTTAGGTTCCTCAGAAAGAAACCAGTACAACTGGTTAAAGGTTATATTTGCTTATGCACCCTCAACTACTGCCCTAATTCTACCTCTGTATGTAACCACAATTTATCAAGAACTGTTGGGACAGCTGCAAAGTTCTTTTCTTAATCACCTTGCAGTTTCCTGCCAGCATCCACACATCTACAGCTATAGTATCTACACACTTTACAGTACTTACAGAGATCCATGATATGGTTTCTGCAAATGGCACAGTTGTCAACCACAATATCCCAAGCCCAGAGTGCAACTGCATTCCACTGTAAGAAGAAAAGATATTTAAGTGCATATCAAAAGTTCATACAAGAACTCATTTTCTCCATTCCTCCATACAGGTATAGGATTATTCCACAGCACTAATATCAGTATGCTTTAAAATCCCACAAAGCAGTGTGCTTAGAGACATGAAAGGGATCTGAACATAATTCAGCCCTGTAGCCTAAATGCTTCCTACACATAGATGAATAATTAAAAGCTGATCTGTAAAGGAGAAGTCTAATGATTTAATTGGTTGGTCTCAAACCCTGATTAGCACTTTTTCCATTACCAAAGGAGTTTGTCGTACACAAGTATCATAACCTAGATGACAACCTGTCATTGTCACTGTGTGCAAATAAAATAATGTACTAGTTAGGAAATCAGTTTCAAAAACTTGTAGGTATCAAATATTGATCCTATTTTTTTTTAGCCTGGATCATGGTTCGTTTACATAAAAGGTACCCAAATATATTAAAAAATGCATATCCTCTAGAAGTATCTGCAGTATTAACTTGAATGAGAATAGGCTAAATTGTTGTGTAGTGACGCCTGCAAAAACTTGCACACAGACAAAATAAGCTTGTATGAAAGATATCTTTGTTTTTCAGTCTTCTGTTAGTGCTGGGATTCTTTTAAAGCATTCCACTTTCCTGTATTATGAAAGCTGA